AAAAAAAAAAAAAACTTTCATTGCAATCAATTATCAAAACACAGGTCTTCAAATCGCAACCAATCGTTTAATCTCACCACCTCAATTTGCTTAATGTTATAATGGCGCGTCTGATCAATTTCTGCCTTGAACATATTCTCAAACTTCTTGTAGCTAATATCCTTCTTCCTTTTACCCTTGAAAAATAGCTAAGAGTTGCAAGTTTTTATCACAAGTAAGATGTCAATGAATATACAATATAAGATCATTAGTAAATCACATGAATACATTTGGACACACCTCGTTGCATGGATACGTAGATGAAAAGAAACACGCTGCTGATCCACGACTTTTGAACTTCTCATTAACATTCATGATACAAGCCCACAGGTTAATAAGCTCCTCGGTAATTGGCGTATTCAGAGCCAAACATGCAACCACATTTCGTTTCACCGAATATTGATCGGACTGATATATAATAACGTCGCTAATCAACGATATCGGCACACCACAAAATATAATTAGATAAGTATGATGAAATTAATCATAAATAAAATATATGAAAACAGTAAATACACATGGATCATACTCATGACCATCTTGATTCTTTAGAACCCAATTAACAATCATTTTCTCTTTCCGGTCAAGTTTTTTAACAATATCGATCACGCGCTGCATGTAAGGCGATTTAATTGCACTGCCTGCATTAGTATGCCTTTTCGGCCTACCGGTATCCACAGCAACATTATCGACAATGGCGTCAACGTCAGCAACTAATCAACATGTATAAGGAAACAAAATTAAACTCGTAATAGCGCTAATAAAAAAACAAAAGAAAAAAATAAAAACAAAAAAGTAGAAAAACAAAGTATATACCTTCAGACGCATGATCACCATTCACCGTACCGTGTCCATCGTCACAAACAAATTTCTCAGTCAACCCGGTTTCATCTACAATGGTGTTGTAGATAGTCAATAGCAAATAATTTCTATATAAACATACAAAACACTCAGTCACTCGTAAGACATAAACATATAATAAATACCTCCCACGCACTCAACGCCGGTATCACCTGCAACTGCATTCATCGCCGCACCACAATCAACTACAAATGAGTAAAAACCATAAAAAAAAGTATACATCAACGTTCAAATGTAATAATTCTAAATGAAAAATGACAATAACAACTACCTGGTGGCACGTCTACATTGGAAGGCCTGCCAATAGTGGGTTCGTCAGCATTATTATGTCGTCCCTCATCAACATTATCCTCATCTTGGGTAAGCCCGAGTCCAAGGCTATAACTAGGGCCTTCATCATGCATCTTCATCTTTATAAAATGGTCGAGCAACATCCTCAATAATAGCATCTATGGCAGCTAAGTTCTCGGGATTATTCCAAAATGCATCGTTCGTCAACTGAGGTTGGGCATATTGCGTTGGTGTAGCAACAGTCGCACGTTGGCTGGCAGTCCCTTTGGAGTCCTCGTTACACACCCCAAGTAGTTTCTGTGCCGCGCCTTGCATTTTCAAGAAATTGTCATCATCTAATAGATCCTTCGGAGCATTCTCAACCAACTTCAAAATCTCCACACCAATAGTTGCAAGAATACGGGTTTTCGAAGCAAATTCTTGCACAAATTCCTACACAACAATCGATACAGCAACATATAAACATAAGTGTACCAGATTGCACAGTAATACTACCCTGGATGCACTTTTGTGAATTCATGGTTGCACCAAACGTTCGTCACATATAATGATTAGACACATATTTACTTAAAACAAAAACCATAAAAAAAAAATATAAAAACAAACCAATATGTTATTCAAACCAATAACAACACATGATGTATTAGGCATACACAAACCATGCATGAAACGAAGATCATTCCTATATCGTATTCACACACACAAAAAAAATACAATGGTAAAACACAATACATGTTATTTGACACGATGTCTATGCATTATAAGCTGAAACGTAAATAAGAACATAAACCTGTACACTAATTGTTGACGTCCTATTCGTGTCATTGTCGTCACGAATGTTAACTTCTCTTTCCACTCGGTGAGAAGCGTCTTCCACGCATAAGTCTACATCCACATATCCTCGCCCGAATGCTCCAGCTACAATCTCGTCTCGTTCTCTAGCCTTCAGTAATTCATTGTTCCATGCTTTAAAAATCGGGAATAGTCTTGCAACGCTCCTGATTGACAAAACCACTTTGTCGACATAGAACAACTACATAACACGCAGTAAAAATAAATAAATAAATAAATAAATAAAAGTAAAAAAAAAAGAAGACCAAACACGAAATGAGATGTAAAATACTTTCTGTGGATACAGAACACATATAATATATTAAACACAGTTATAAGGGTACATTCCCTTAATAATACAACGTGGGGAACACATAGCACAAAAACACCTCAAAAACTATTGCATAAAGAAGACACGAAGATGGTTCTGATGCACTAACCGTCAGAAATAGAAGCGGCCCTGTGAAGTTCTTACGTCCCCGATTATCATTCCAAGATTTTTTCGTGCACACCAGACAACGAATCATGTAGGAGCACCAGTTCATATTCATCACGTTCGATAGATCACTGAGAAGATGGATTATACGTAAATTTGCCATCCCGTTGCTAGTGCTCTCGAATAGGCAAGTCACGATGAGAACAACAAAATTGCGTTTGAACCAGTCGTCACTTCCATCACAATTCTGAATCATGTCTAAGACTCTCATGGCTGTAATGTTTTCCGGCTTACTGACATTATATAACCTCACCCATTCTTTCAACAACTCCGACTCGGTTTTTTTCTTTTTATTCGTGATCTCAATCGTTCCACGGGGCAGTCCAAGTACAACGTATACATCGTCTTCTTTCACGTGAATTTTTTCCCCGCCGTAGAGTTTCAACTTCCGATCCATGTGATTGAAGTTCTCAACCAACCAGTGCCCCATTTTTGCCGGTGTCATCGTTATCGTCAACTCCAACAAACGACCGAATCCCATGTCATGGACTGCCTACTTCTGATCATCGGTCAGACCAGACACAGCCTTCACGAAAATGGCTGGTGATGATCTTGTGTTGATGCTTGGAAGGGCATCACCATCATCACTACCGATAATCGGTGCTACACCAGTAGCTTCTAACGCAAGTGTTGCAGCTGTTTTGATATAAACATAGCATCACTATAATAATATCTGATAATAACGCACTCAAAACACGATTGATGTAAGTGAGTATACCATTTTGGGTCATCGTATTCTTATATCGTTTCAGCTGAGGTGCAGCATCAACGAAATCATCGTTTTCAGGCAGACTACTTAGATTTGCACGTTTACTGCATTCGTCAGCTCGTTTTAGTTCATAGACCTTCCGTTTGATTGCTGCAAAGATAACACGTAATGAAATGAAAATGACATATGTAAAAATAGCAGGAACCATATGATAATAAACATGATTGAACGTACCACCCTGTGCCGCCATAATTTTATCACGCTTCAATTCAGATGTATCATCAACTATATCATCGCTGCCCGCGGTCACAACTGTTTTTCCATGATTTACAAGATCTTCAGCGCGTGTTGGCTCATCTCCCATCTGTTTGTTAGCTGAAAGATAACAACAGTAAATGGATTAACCGAACTACAGATGTATACCTTCATGCGCATGTTTGACGCTTTATGATGAATGACTCGGCTGAGATTCATTCAACCCCGAACGTCTACGTGTAACTGGACAAAATACACGAAAAATCAAGAACACGATAATAAAAACAGAATAAAAATCGAAAAAGGATACTGTGACTGCATGTACCTTTCCAACCACCACACGGTTGGTCTGTCGAGCCTTCGTCGACAACACGTTCATCTGCAAAGGCAAAATTACAACAAGCAAAATGGGTTTGAATAATCAAGAGCGATACACTCATCAAAACACCACATCAATTGAATTCTAACATATTATCTATAATTACCCAAATTCGCAATAGACCAACATTAAATGCAATTTTGCAACAATTATACAGTAATTAATTACAAAAACTAGCACCATTTCAACATTGATTCTACAAAAAACACGAAGATCGCGAACTCTAAATTTGTATTTTTTTCTAGATTTCTTTTTTTTTTTTATGGTTTACCATCAGCAATAGAACAAAAAACATCGCTTCTAAAAACTGAAAAATCGGTAACACTGACGATAATCTTACCGTTTTTCCTCGATTGAGGAGAGTTCACCATTTTTTTTTCTTTGAATCAGTTTGTACGACTACAAGATCCACAACGTTGTCCTTAACAGCTCGACGAAGATCTATAAGGTTGAGAAAAAAATAACAGGGGCGAAATCAACTCAATAAATCCCTCATCTCGCCGTTGATAGAGAGATTTTTCAAAGAACATAAATTCGCGAAAGTAAATTCCAATATGCCATTAATGTGTCTGATCGCATTTACCCTAAGCTATAAAAAGACGCATGTGCCCTTCCATGTAAAAAACTGGGCGTAAAGATGCACAGAATTACAAAAATGCCACCGCGTGGCAATTGCTGGACAGGTTCATCTCAAGCGTTAATTTGGACGATCTAATGGTGTGTAAATCATTCTCATTTCTTTGACTATCCCCTATTCTCATATGATCCTATCTCTCTCTCTCTCTCTCTCTCTCTCTCTATATAT